TGGGCTCCTGCAGACCGGGCGACCCCAGGCCACACTTCTGGGTCCCACGTCTAAGCCGCCGATGCCCGGCTACCAGAGCCACAGCGGGACCAGGGCCGCGGCTGGACGCCAGGCCTGTGTGCCCCGCCTGGCCCTCCGGCCCCTCCCCCGGCGCGCACAAAGGCAGCCCCTCCCCGGCCCTCCAGGCCCGCTGCAGCATTTCGGGGTCTCCCCCTCCCTTCCCAGTGGCAAGGCCGCAGGAAACAAAGGCGCGGCGGCGGCCTGGGGACAAAGGGGCCGGGGGCGGGGGCGGGGGGCTCACCAGTCGGCCGCGCTCTCCTCCCGGATCACCTCCTCGTACGCCGCTAGCAGCTCCAGGCGGTGGCCGCTGAAGCTGACGCCGGCCATGCTGCGGGCCGGACCGAGGCCGAACGGACGGACGCACGCACGGACGGACAGACGGACGGACACGGGAGGGAGGGGAAGAGGGAGTCGCCGCCGCCGCCGCCTTGGAGCCTCTGCAGCGCTGCGAGGCGAGCGAGCCAGCGGCCGGGGGAGGGGAGCCGGCCGGCGGGGGGCGGGGGGCGCTGGCTCCGCCCGGCTCACTCCCTCTGCTTGCTTGGTCCTAGCGCCGCCCCGGCCGGGCCCAGGGGGAGGTCCGCCCCCCCTTCCCGGCTTGCCCCGGGGCGCCCCTAGCCCGCTCCCCTGGGGGCCAGCACCCCATGTCTGATCTTTCAGGGCGCATCCCACGCACCTGCCTTGTCCCGGTCCCCAATCTTAGGCGCCCACCCTCTTCTCCAACCCCAAACCCACCTCACCAAGATTCCAGACCCTGCCCAGGCCGGGCTTCTCTCTCCACCTCCCAACCAAACAGGTCCAGCCCTAGCCTTGATTCATTTAACTCCAACACAGCTTCACCCCACTCCCGGGTCCATCCCACTCCACATTTAATCCATTTTGGTTCCTGTCCCTACCACTGTCCGGCCTCAATTCGTGTATTAGCCTAGGCCTGAGTTGTCTGCAGCTCATCTTCAAAGGGCCATTCCTAGTCCACTGCTATCACTTTGCAAGTCCATCCACTGCCAACCCCACATCCAGCCCCGATTCCTTTCTATTCCCAGCTGCAGCCTCGTGCTTAGCACGGCACACCTCCACCTGTTCACCACACCCCTAGCTGAATTCTTTTCAGTCCAGCCTGCTCTAATCCCACCCAGATCCCTCTTCCTAATCCCACCCCTCCACCCCTGCCATATTAACCCCAAGAAGAGTCCCAAGGCAGAGAATATCATTCCAGGGTGAGCCTTTTAGCACCTTTTTATTTCCCAAAGCTGTGAGCACAGATGGGGCTGGGCTTTTTATGAATGAAGTCCTGTAGAGAAAAATGGAGGCTACAGACAGGGCTTCCCAAGCACATCTCTTTCTTGTTGGGTCGAGGATCCTCTAAGAAGTCTTTTCCATTACTGCCAAACCACCCAACCCATTTTCCTGTGGAGCTGACAGAACATAGAACCTCACCAAGCTTTACTTGGGCCAATCTAGGGGCAGCAGAAGGTGGTTTTGACTGGGCCTCCTGGTTCTGATTTGGTTAACTGAGTTGTCAGTCAGTTATACCAACATTACTCCAGTGCTTTGGAATGAGCGGTTGAGGTAGACTTTTAAAAACTTATTTCACACCCTTAATCCCAGTGCTCTGGAGGCAGAGGCAGGAGGATCTCTGTGAGTTCAAGGCCAGCTTGGTCTACATAGTTCCAGGCTAGCTGGGGCTACAGGAAGACCCTGTCTCCAAAACAAACAAACAAAACAAAGTTCGTTTTACTGGTTCTTACCTCAGAAGCTCTGGGTGCCCACTGAACCCTTATCCTTGGCAGTTTCTCCACCACTTCCAACTAGAGTGAAGCCCAAGCAGGATCAGCCCCAGGCCCTAGCCCTGTAAGGTACAGATGGAATGCAATGGAGATGATTAGGGGATGGAGATAGTGATGACAACCCCTGGTGAGGAAGGAAAGGAGAGTCATGGGGAGGACAGTTTCAGCCTTGCGACACCATTAGGCATTCTGGAAGGAAAGAGATCCTGTAGCAAGAGCTCAGGAATGGCCTGTAGGGTGAGGCACAGCACTAGGCATCAGCATTTCCGGCTTCAGCCCCTTCCTGCTTCCTTCCACTTTCCCACAATTGCTGCCTCCCCAGTCTCTCCTCAGTCAATTGCACATAAAAAAAAATTTTTTTTTAAAAAGAGCTAATGCACCATGGAAACTCTGTCTTCCTCAAATTCCTGCTCTTCACCTGACAAGTACCAACCATCTCTAGCCATGCCCACTTCCCCTCCCATCTTTATTGTTTTTGTTTTGCTTATTTTAGCTTGTTTTCTAAAATATTTATTTTTATTTTCTGTGTATGAATGTTTTCCCTGCATGTATGTAAGTGACCACATGCATGCAGTGCCCACAAAGGCCAGAAGAGGGTGTTGAATCCCCTGGAACTGGAGTTATAGGCAACTGTGAGTCACCATGTGGGTGCTAGGAACTGAACCCAGGTCCTCTGCAAGAGCAGCTAGTGCTCTAAACCACTGAGCCATCTCTCCAGCCCTATTTATTTATATTTGAGACAGAGTTTCATTATGTAGTCCTGGCTGACCTGGAATTCCCTGTGTGGACCAGGCTGGCTTCAAACTTAGATTCACCTGCCTCTGCCTCCCAAGTGCTGGGATTAAAGGTGAGCACCACCACACCTGACTGTTTTGTTTAGTTTCTAAAAAAAAAATTTTTTTGGTCTTTTTGAGACAGGGTCTCCCTGTAGCCCCAGCTGTCCAGGAACTCACTATGTAGACCAGGCTGGTCTTGAACTCACAGAGATCCACCTGCCTCCGCCTCCCAAGTGCTGGTATTAAAGGTGTGCGCCACCGCGCCCAACTAGTTTCTAAAAATTTTTAAGATTTATTTTTAATTATATGTATATGTGTGTCTGTGTGCGGGTACATGCAACATGAATGTAGGTGCTCTAGGAAGCCAGAGGTGTTGGATCCCCCGAGGAGCTGTGAGCCACCCCATATGGTTGCTAGAAATTGAACTTGGGGGGCTGGAGAGATGACTCAGCGGTTAAGAGCACTGACTGCTCTTCCAGAGGACCCAGGTTCGATTCCCAGCACCCACATGGCAGCTACAAACTGTCCTTAACTCCAGTTCCAGGGGAATCCGATGCCCTCTTCTGACCTCCATGACATTGCATGACACGAGTGCACTCACATATTCACATGCAGGCAATACACTCATACACATAAAATAAAAATAATAAATTAAAAAAAATTTTGGTCTTTTTGAGACAGGGTCTCCCTGTAGCCCCAGCTGTCCTGGAACTCACTATGTAGACCAGGTTGGCCTTGTACTCACAGAGATCGTCTGCCTCTGCCTCCAGAGTGCTGGGATTAAAGGCATGTACCACCACACCCGGCAATAAATAAAAACATTTTTTAAAAAAACAAATTGAACTTGGGTCCTCTGGAAGAACAGTATGTGCTTTTAGCCACTGAGCCATCTCTCCAACCCTTTAGTTTTTTAAAAAATGCTTTTTGTTTGTTTGTTTGTTTGTTTGTTTGTGACAGGGTCTCCCTGTAGTCCCAGTAGACCTAGAACTTACTATGTAGATCAGACTGGCCTATGTAGACCACACCCAGCTAAAAATACTTTTATTATTATTATGTATATGTGTAAGTGCAGGCACACATGTGCTACAACATGCACGGGGAGTACCCTTCTAAGAGTCAGTTCTTTCCTTCCACCATGGGTTCCAGGAATCTAACTCATCAGGCTTGCTTGGTAAACACTTTTACCTGTTGAGACACCCCACAGGTCTCTGTTTCATTTTTGTTGTTTGAGAAAGGGCTCACACTGTAGCCTAGCCTGACCTGGAGCTCACTGTTTAGCTCAAGTTGGCCTCAAACTCAATGCTTGAGTGCTGGGATTCCTGACATGAGTCACTACACCTGCTTGCCATGTATATTCTTAAATATTCTATTTAAGAACACTTTCAGGCTAGGTAGGTATGACTGCTCGTGCCTGTAATCCCAGCACTTGGGAAGTGGAGACAGGAAGCTCAGGAATTCAAGGTCATTCTCTACTACATAGTGCATTCAAGGTCTGCCTAGCTACATGAGACCCTGTCTCAAAAATCAAAAAAAAAACAAAAACAAAAACAGAATAGTTTTAGGACTGGAGATACAGCATGTGTACAGATCTGGGTTCGATCTCTAGCACTGAAAATCAAACAAACAAAAAAGACCAGTTTTTGATTTAGAGAAAAAACTGCAAAGTTCCCATAGCCCTACCTCCAGATTTTCCCATTTTCAGATCAGGAGGGTTCCCTGCTTACAAGTCAGGGAGCTTATTCTTTACCCCCAGGACTACTGTGTTCCTTGGCATTTTTCTGGACAAGGTCACTAGTGATCCTTAAACAAATTCAGTATACCTATTGTGGCTGTTTCCTTGCTTGACTCATGTATATGAAAGTGAATGTAGTCACTGTCCTAGGAGACCCTGATTCCTTGCAGCCACCAGTTGCCTCCGAAAACCACACCCAGTCTTAGTGGGTGGCTGGCAGGTAGGTGCCTCCTTAGAGGTCCTCCCACCCAACTTCGTGTCTGCCACCTCCAGCACTGATCACCCTTCAAGTCACTGACATGTCAGTCTCTCGCCCCCAGAGCTCTGCACACACACTGGGAGACTGGTCCCATGGAAAATATGAGAACAGAGGATTCCGATCCAGAAATGGGTTTCTTGCTGTGTGCCTTTGCCTAAAACACTTCCCCCTCTCTGAATTTCCTTTTAAGAACCTGTTGTGTGGATAAAATGGGCCTGGAGGGATGCTTAGAACATGAGAACCCTTTCGCTTCTTCCTGGCAGCCTTGCCCCCCTCACCCACCTTGTGGCTCTATGCTTCCCCACACCTTTTAGGAAAGGTTTCAAAGATGAGGGGAGTGTGTGGGCGGTTGCAGGACTTTTTCAGTATCAGATGGAAGAGACTTCCCTGACCTCATCCTGCCCCTTCAAGATCGTACCTAGCACACCTTCAACTACATTAGCTCTGCTTCCTACAATGCTAGTGTCCTCCCCCAACAGCGCCTTGCCTATGGTGTGACATAAGACAAATTTGCTAAATTTTTTTTTTGGTGGGTTTATTTTGCTTTTTTTTTTTTGTTTTTGATTGTTTGTTTGGTCTTTTTGAGACAGGGTCTCCCTGTAGCCCCAGCTGTCCTGGAACTCACTATGTAGACCAGGCTGGCCTTGACTTCACAGAGATCTGCCTGCCTCTGCCTCCCCGAGTGCTGGGCTTTGTTTTGAGGCAGGGTCTAAATCTCAAACCCCTGCCTTAGCTGGGATTACCCGGTGTGCCTGGGCTCAGTTTAATGGTTTTATTTTTGTGGTACTAGTAGTTGAACCTAGGGCCCCATATATGCTGAGCAAGCATTCTAAGCTACATCTTCAGCCTTCTTTTTAAAAATTTATTTATTTATTTTTTTGGTCTTTTTGAGACAGGGTCTCCTTGTAGCCACAGCTGACCTGGAACTCACTATGTAGGCCAGGCTGACCT